AAGAAGGGGAGAGGGAGTGTGCTGGCTGGGCTCTGTCACAGACACTAGACTTGATAGATGCAGCCAGCCACTGCACACAGCTTCAACTGATGGACATAGTCTACAGGTTGCCTGGGTGGGCACAACTGATATTTGTGTGTCCCTGCAGCACTAGATCTGGCCATGTACAGGGCGAAGAGCTGCTTTGAACAGTTTTGATTCTCTAGTTTTTATCTTCGTATTTGTATGTGTGTATATATATATATATATATATATATATATATATATATACAGTTGCAAGAAAAAGTATGTGAACCCCTTGGGATTACGTGGAGTTTTGCATGAATTGGGCATAAAATGTGCTCTGAACGTCATCTAAGTCACAACAATAGAAGAACACAGTCTGCTGAACATAATACTACACAAACATTAGATGTTCCCATGGTTTAATTGCACATAACATGTAAACATTCACAGTGCAGGGAGGAAAAAGTATGTGAGTCCCTAGCTTAATGACTTCTCCCAGAGCTAATTGGAGCCAGGAGTGAGCCAACCTTGACTCCAATCAGTGTGATGATATTGGATGTGTTGCTGACAGCTGTCCTGCCCTTAAAAAACACACACCTGTTTTGGGTTTACTGGTTTCAAGAAGCACTCTCTGATGTGAACCATGCCTCGCAGAAAAGAGCTCTCAGAAGACCTATGATCAAGAATTGTTGACTTGCATGAAGCTGGAAAGGGTTACAAAAGTATCTCCAAAAGCCTTGATGTTCATGTGTCCACGGTAAGACAGACTGTCTACAAATGGAGAAAGTTTAGCACTGTTGCTACTCTCCCTAGGCATGGTCGTCCTGTAAAAATGACTGCAAGAGCACAGCGCAGAATGCTGCATGAGGTAAAGAAGAATACCAGAGTGTCAGCTAAAGACCTACAGAAATCTCTGGCACATGCTAACATTTTTGTTGACACATCTACAATAAGGAAAACATTAAACAAGAATGGAGTACATGGGAGGACACCACGGAGGAAGCCATTGCTGTCCAAAAAGAATATTGTAGCACGTTTGAAGTTTGCAAAAGAGCACCTGGATGTTCCACAGCACTACTGGCAAAATATACTGTGGACAGATGAAACCAAGATTGAGTTGTTTGGGAAGAACACACAACACTATGTGAGGAGAAAAAAGGCACAGCACACCAACATCAAAACCTCATCCCCACTGTAAAACATGGCGGAGGGAGCATCATGGTTTGGGGCTGCTTTGCTGCCTCAGAGCCTGGACGGATTGTTGTCATTGATGGGAAAATGAATTCCAGAGTTTATCAAGACATTTTGCAGGAAAACGTACGACCATCTGTCCGCCAACTGAAGCTCCGCAGAGGATGGGTGATGCAACAGGACAATGACCCAAAGCATACAAGTAATTCTTCAAAACAATGGCTGCCACAGCACAGAATACACCTTCTGGAGTGGCCCAGTCAGAGTCCTGACCTCAACCCGATTGAAATGCTGTGGCATGACCTTAAGAGAGCGATTCACACCAGACATCCCAAGAATATTTCTACACTGAAACAATTTTGTGAAGAGGAGTGGTCCAAAATTACTCCAGATCGTTGTGCAGGTCTGATCTGCAACTACAGGAAACGTTTGGTTGAGGTTATTCCTGCCAAAGGAGGGTCAATCAGTTATTAAATCAAAGGTTCACATACTTTTTCCTCCCTGCACTGTGAATGTTTACATGTTATGTGCAATTAAACCATGGCAACATCTAATGTTTGTGTAGTATTATGTTCAGCAGACTGTGTTCTTCTATTGTTGTGACTTAGATGACGTTCAGAGCACATTTTATGCCCAATTCATGCAAAACTCCACGTAATCCCAAGGGGTTCACATACTTTTTCTTGCAACTGTATATATATATACAGGGGCGGACTGACAACTCATGGGGCCTCTGGGCAATAGGAGATCGTGGGGCCCCTGTGCCCTTGCCCAAACTCAAAAAAGCCTATGAAAAAGGTACCAGGGGCATCTCATGGGGCCCCCTACTGACACCGGGCCCTCGGGCAGTGCACGAGTTTCCAAATGGTTTATTTTTGTGTGTGTTTACAATTTTTTTCCTTAACCACTTGCCGCCCTGCCACTGTTGAAATACAGCGGCAGGGCAGCACAGGCAGGCAAAACCACGTTTTAAAACATGTGTTTTGTAAACAGGGGGCGCGCGCAAGGCGCGCTGCCGCCCTATCTGTCCCGCCGATCACCCCCGCGGATGTCAGTCGCCGGGTCACAGCCGGTCCTTACCGGCTGTTTCCCGGCAATCGGCGGCAAACAGTGACAGAGAGCACAGCTGCAGTAGCTGTGCTGTCTGTCACTTCCCTGACAGCTCGAGGACGAGCTGATCGAGAAAGAAGAGTTTCTCTCTCTCGATCAGCGGTGTCCCGTGCAGCACACACCCCCCGCCCCCTAGTAAAACACCCCCCCTCACACAGATAACCCTTCCCTGCAAAATAAAGTTAACCCCTTCCTCCCCAGTGCCATTAGTACAGTGTCAGTGTTTTTTTTTTGCACTGATCACTGTATTAGTGTTTTTGGGGATGTCAGTGAGCCCAAGTCAGTACCCCCCAATGTCAGAATGTCTGCCGCAGTCCCGCCATAAGTCGCTGGTCGCTGCCATAAGTCACTGATCACCGCCATAAGTCACTGATCACCGCCATAATTCGCTGATCGCCGCCATTATTAGTATAAAAAAAACCCTAAAAATCCCATTATCTTTCCCACCATTTGTAAACGCTATAACTTTCATGTAAACCAATTAATTTACACGTATTGTTGTTTTTTTTTTTTTAGCAAAGACATGTCGCAGAATGCATTTTGGCAGAAATTTATGACTAAATTTGATTTTTGCATTTTTTTTTACTGGACATGTTTTATAGCAAAAAGTCCAAAATATTGTTTTTTTTTTCCTCAAAATTGTCAGCCTTTTTTTTTATAGCGCAAAAAATAAAAACTGCACAGGCAATCAAATACCACCAAAGGAAAGCTCAATTTGTGGGGAAAAAAAAGGATGTAAATTTCATTTATGTACCGTATTGCATGACCACGCAATTGTCCGTTAAACTAGTGCAGCGCTGTATAGCAGAAAAATGGCGTAAATTGCAGTATTTATACCATAGTTTGTAGACGCTATCACTTCCACACAAAGCAATCAATATACACTTATTGGGATTTTTTTTTACCAAAAACATGTAGCAGAATACATTTTGGCCTAAATTTATAACCAACTTTAAGTTTACTATATATTTTTTATAGCTGAAAGTAAAAAATATTGTTTTTTTTTCAAAATTTTTGGCCTTTTTTTGTTTATAGCGTGAAACATAAAAAGCGCACAGATGGTCAAATACCACCAAAAGAAAGCTCTATTTGTGTGAAAAAAAGGACGTAAATTTCGTTTGGGTGCAGCATTGCATGACCGCGCAATTATCAGTTGAATTAGTGCAGCGCCGAGTAGCAAAAAGAGGCCTGGTCATTAAGGGGGGTAAATCTGGAGCTCAAGTGGTTAATTGGTAGCTTCTATACAGCTGTTATGGTTTATTCATTAGGTTAGGAGCGCAGACTAAACAAAAACTGCTTTACTGTCTGCAAGCCATTTTTTTTCCTTTTATACACACTGTCTGTGGCACTTAGGCACAGTTATGTATTGTGCCAAATGCTTCATGGACCCACAGTGGCTTTAGTTTTGCTTTAGTAGGTAAACTGCGTATTCCAATAACAGGTCAGAAAATATATCTGACTACATTCTGCCATTAAGTTTAACCTTTTTAGTCTTGGATAAAACGTGGATGGTTTAGAATCTCTGATACATTTTGGATGTGTCCCCATTGGGGAGATTTCCTGTTATATTTAGATGTGTCACAGGGACACTGAAGTTCTACCTCTGTTGCAGTCCATTTATAGTAATACTTTTTTTCTTCTCTCTAATAGTCTAATGGAGATTTTGTTGGCCACGTGATAGGGGGAAATTTCCATACAAAGCAATGAAAACATGACCAAGGGTCTACCATTCTCCAACACATCCAAAGCAAAAACAAAGTTTTGGTCGAAGGCTCACTTTATGTAGTGCATTTTCTTTTTTATTGTCCACATAATACATTTGTAATATGCTGTTTGACAAAACAAAATAAGGTTGCATGAAATATCATTGTCATTCCCGTGTTCCAGTTCTACCATTATTGCCTTTGAGAAATGGTCTTTCTGTTGTAGGCAGGGGCAGACTGACCATTTGGAAACTCGGGCACTGCCCGAGGGCCCGGGGTCAATAGGGGGCCCCATGAGATGCCCCTGGTACCTTTTTCATAGGCTTTTTTGAGTTTGGGCAAGGACACAGGGGCCCCATGATCCCCTATTGCCCAGGGGCCCCATGAGTTGTCAGTCCGCCCCTGGTTGTAGGTGCAATGATGGTATTTTATAAACAATTGTATGGGGGAGGGGGGAGAGCACCCCTATCCTTCAACATTGAATTTGTATTTATACTTTGGTCTGACATAACTGTTAACACTTTCCACCTGTGTCACAAATGGCTTGACAAAACACAAGAAGCATGTGTGAAATATCATTGTCATTCACAGGTTCCAGTTATACCATTATTTCATCAGTATGGTCTCGGAAATCGGCTCTTGTAGATGTAATGATGGTATTGAGTTATAAACAATGGTATCACCACTCTAGAATAAGGTGGGGGAGCACCCTCATCACTCAACACATCCCTCAACAAAGAATTTGTAGTTATACTTTGGTCCAGACATAAGTGTTAACATTTTCCACCTGTGTCACAATTGGCTTAACAAAACAAAAAAAGTATGTATGAAATATCACTGTCATTCCCATGTTCCAGTTCTACCTGTATTTCATAAGTATGGCCTTTGAGAAATGGCTCTTGTAGGTGCAATGATGGTAATGCATTACAAAAAATGGTATCACCACTCTTACAGCCATCTTACAGTAATTCCTTTGTCATTATACTTTAGTCAGACATAAGTATTCACATTTTCCACCTGTGTCACACTTGGCTTATACTTAAGTTTGGCACGGAATTCTTTCACTGAAAAATAGTAGCAAAGGGCATCAAGGCAGCAGTTAATGTTAGATATACAGAGTGCCACCTGCAGAAATATGCTGATGTGTTTTCTCACTGTGCAGTCTGAAATGATCTGTCTTCGAGCCAGAAACTGCAAGAAGATGCCAATATGAGTAAAACCAAAACAAATCACGAACACCACCAGATTACAGATGATTATTCGTACAATAACAGCCTTGGACTCTTCAGACTCTACTGAGGAAGATATGGGAACCCGTAGTGTCCTGATGATCTGAATAGAACAATATAATATGATGGTCATAGGAATCACAAATCCAAACATTTCCAGAGGTATTATTAAGTTAGGACTCCAAATGTTGTCAGACATGTTATGAAAACATTTACCATTTTCTGATTTTTGTTTGTTAAAAAATGTGAATAAGGAAACACTCCACACAAAGACCCATATAGTGACACATATTATTATGGTCTTTTTGGGTGAGCGCAAAACCCTGGTCCAGAAAGGATGCAAAATGGCTATGTATCTGTCCAAGCTGATGAACATAATTGTGTAGATGCTGCCATACATATTCGTAAAGTAGAGGGATTGTAGAAAGCCACACAGATGACTGCTCACCTTGATTTTATCTTGGGAGAAATGTATTTTTATGGGTAAAGACATAACAAGAAAAAAATCCAGGATTGCCAGATTCACCAAGTATATTGAAGCTTCTGTGCATTTTTTCATGGAACAACAGAAGATCCACAAAGCGAATGAGTTCAGCGTAAAGCCCAGGATGAATGTGGGAATATAGATCACCAACTGAATAGGGTCCAGTATTGTAGAGGTATTCAAATATGGGCAGCTGTCAATACTCATGTTCATTATTCTGTTAACACAAGACAATTTTACATTTTTTTACCACCTTTTTTTTAAAAAATTTTAATATGTATGTATTTACACTTGGGGTATTGGATAGGAAGGGGTTAATTTACTAAAGCTGAAGAGTGCAAAATCTGGTGCAGTTTTGCATGGTAGCCAGTCAGCTTCTAACTTCAGCTTCTTCAATTAAACTTTGATGAAAAAAAATCTGGAAGCTGATTGGTTTCTATGCAGAGTTGCACCAGATTTAGCATTCTCCAGTCTCCAGTAAATCAACCCCTTCCTATCCAATACCCCAAGTGTAAATATATACTGTACATATTAGCATGAAGATACAATTCTCTGGGCTGAATAGTTGACAATTCCAACTCTGAGGTGAGGATCAGAAGCTGCACCAGATTTTGCACCCTCCAGTTTTAGTAAATCAACCCCGTCTGTGGATAAAAGATTGCATAATCTGAAGAAATTACTATCTTCTGTAATGAAAATGTTGTTACTATTGTTATGTGTCTTTCATACTATAATTAAGATGGTTTTAATATGAAATATATTTTCATAAATACAAATTAAGTTATATATAAATGTTCAACTGTACGTTGCATATTTATATGTGGTACCTGAAAAGTCCTTCTGCCATTTCTTATATTTGTCATGGATATAAATATAAATTGGGTATGTGGTGCAGGTACATTTTATAGCCAGTCATTCCTGAAGTTTTGTTTAAGAAAAAGTATTAAACTTTTATGAATTAGATGAAGATGAAGTTTCACATTTTTTTTCACAGACTTGCAGATCATTAGGGTCTTGAAAGTGGAATTCAAGCCTAACACTGACTATTCATAAATTGTTCCCTCTCCTCCTACATATTCTGCCTACCCTTTGTAAAAAGGATTTGTATACTTACCTTTTTTCAGTTCGGTCCAGTCCAGTCACATGATCCTGCAGCTATGGCTCCCTCACGTATTGGCGTGCTTGACAATGGTTGGGAATTCCCAAAGCTGTGACGTCATGCATAGGCTTTCATGGCCCAGTTGACATTCTTTCCTTTCCCCTGCAGCCGCTGTCAATATACAATGTTCCAGTGGGAAGGATTCCTGTATCCACCTCAAATGTGTGGATGGGGGAATCCATTCATTATTTTCTACTGGCTGAATGAAAAACAACTGAAGTATGCATGGGCAGTTTTAGGCTTGAATACCACTTAAAAATGGCTGCAAATCAATAATGTCCACCCTCTTCAAGGCTGTTCAAGCTTTTATTTAAATGGGAAAGTTGCCATATCAGGTTTTCTCATTTAGAATTTCCATATGTGTTAACACTTGATTTACTGACTCCTCTTATCACCATGATAAACAAAACTGTAATTTATGTGCAGTGTGAGCAATGAGCTGACTATGGCATTTATGACATTGCATGTTTGGACAGCTAGTAAATATTATGCAATCACACATTTAAAGATGCTGTTTTGAGTAGGCATAAACAAAGTGATGTCAGAGAAATTAATTTCCCCGTGAACTTACTGATTGCTGAAATTTCACCTAAATTAGCTTCACATTTTGCCATGCAGACTGCTAAGGGAAATTTGTTTGAAAGGTTCCTTTAAGGTCCCTTTCACATGACCGTTTTCAATTAGATCTGCTTGTCAGTTTTTTCAGGCGGATCTGATCAGACGGTCCATTCACCCTTATGGAGACCCAATCCGTTCTACAAGCGGAAGGGGATCCGTCCTCCTCCGTGTAGGTGGATAAGATCAAAGGCAGTGGGGTGTAAATGCACAGTGAAGTCCATTTATACCCGGCTGCTCTCTCCATGTCCACTCTGCATGGACTGAGCGGAAACAAACCTACCATCTGCCCACTCTGCTCTGATCAGCAGGGGATGTGGATTACAATGACCTAAGCCAAATGTGTTCAGGATCCTCATAATCAAAAGAAGTGTCTGCTGTTATCTCTGTGCTGCAGTGCATATTTAAAAAAAAATACAACCTGTCCATTTGTTGTGCATTGTGAGGCCCAAAGAAATCGATGGCAGCACATTAAAGCACATATAATGAGCATCTTGGTCAATGGCTATTGACTCTATTAACTCTTAAATTCAAAAACACATTGAAAATGTCAATTCATGTCAATAATGCATGTCAACACACAAAGGAAACGTATGTCAATGTATGACAACGCATCTGCCTAATGCTATAAAAACACGCCTCTACACATGCACATAGATCCAATTGGGTCCATAAGAAAACATTTCCATGTTGCTTTACAAACTGTTTTATTTAATTTGTGTTTTTCTTTTTTTTGTAATTTATTGTTATTATTTTTTTTACAGAACTCAAAAAAGGTACTTTATACACATAATATTTGTGTACTCTTACTCTAAATGTCCTTTTTTCCCTGTTTGTTTTTGTAAAAGAAAAGTCTAATTACACCCATTAACTATAAGAAAGCTTTCAGATATCTCCTTAACCCCATTTATTTATATTTAGATACAATCAAACTGCATTTTCATGAAAAATAGCCACATCGCTGGAAAATATAATTTTAATGTTCAGCATGTTGAAATCATATACATATAACACAATCCTCACCCATAAAAACACATATTATAAAATTGGATACTCTCTATAAATATGCAAAATGTATTACTGTTTCAATCAATAATTGATGATTACATAGTATAGCAATATTAATGTAATGTTTATGTGGGTAAAGGTTGAGATACATGTCTTGAATTTCAGCATATTGAACACTTATATAATTGTATTTATTTTTCAGAAGTGTGATTGTATTTCTTGAGAAGGAATTTTGGTTGCATTAATGTTCCTCTATATTTAATACCATGCTCCCAGCTAATGTGGGATGGTTATTTTTAAACAAGTACAGGTCCTGGATAGTTTAAAGTAGTTTCTGTAACTACCAGGAGACATTTAAAGCACCTTGTGCACTTTCAATAAAAAATTGACTTACTCAGCAAAAACAGTGAGTTTCACTCATCCGTAGCGATGAGTTAGATTTAGAAAATCCACATCTATCACCAACCAGCAATACAGGTGTAAATCTGCCACCTACTCTATATTCAGCAGGGTAACACGACTATTCTCTGACTTGACATACTGTCATTTAAAATTCCTGGATTGACTATGTTCCCTTTCCAATGATTCCAAAATTAGTTTCAGAATTGCTAAGAGTTAGTCATCACTAATGCTGCTCATCACCTGATCACGTTTCTAAGCAGTTGATCTTGGTCTATTTTATAATCAACTAATAAATGTAAATTCCATTTTTTCCATGAGCTTTTGAACTTTGTAACACATTCTATTATACAAGCTCAGGAGTCTTTTTTTAAATATGGTGATTTACACTAAAAATAGCACAATGGAGATAAAACCAATAATGAAATTGTGAGGTTATCTAACATGTTCTCTGCAATAATTATCCTCCAGTTCTTGCACTGATAAACTAAGCATAACATAAAAACAAATATCTACATAATAAGCAATGGTTATTTAGTAGGTTAGTAGGCAACAGGGATGTGTAAACAACCTATAAAATACCTCTGAAAAACAATCACTGATTTCTATAATTTTAGGCCAGCAATAAAGTCCATCATAATCGATTAAATATATTCTTGATAGCTGCTTAGAGTTTTTTAAACAACAATATACTTACATCAATTGTCTTTTGGAGTCTCCTGTCAAACGTATGTTTTTTTTTACCTACATATACAGGCTCTAAGGGAAAGCAGTGTAAAGCAGCTGAAAGCAGCTGAAGTTAGAAGTGTGAGAGTATTCGTGTACCTTGATTTCATACCATATTTCACCATGTGTAACCACTTCCCCTGTATGTAAGAGACTGTGGTCCATGCCAGCCAACTATTGCACATGTTTATATTCAATATGTAAGACTTGGCCTGTACCTCAGAGTTTACCTAATTTCTCCTTGCAATGATGTTGTAGATATGCCGATCTTAACAAGGATTTGTAGGTCTATACAGAGAAAGCAGACATTTTTTAACATCCAAACCTGTTCCTCAGAACTGTGGTTATGAAAAAGACCCACAAAAATACAAAAATGTACATGCTGTGCATAGAGTTACAAGCTAGCGTCTGGGCAGTCCCAAAAAAGGTCACATTAGGACTTTGTTTTATGACTGATATCATATGTAATGTATAATATATGAAAAGGTTTATTCTCAAAAGAAAGGAGTAGTGTGCATGTACAGATTCCTACACATCAGAAGTCCTCTACTTAACTGACTGCAGTCTGAAAGTTGAATTCTGATGGCTGATCTGATGGCTCTTTGTATGCGATCTTCAAATGATCAGGAATTCAGCAACTACTGAGAGGCATCTGTGGACAACATGATGGTTGGTTGAGGAAGAAAAGACCATTAAACATGGATCTCCTATATAGTTCATACGTACACTTTTATTGAATATATTTTTCAAAATGATGTGTGGCATTTTGTATGTAGTACTTGGAACTGAGATTTTCTAGATCGATGTTCCTAAAATAGTGCATTTATAGCCCTTACCCCCCGAGGGAGCAACTTGATGTGCTGGGTCTTCAGTTCCTATGCCCATGGCTCTTCAAACAACTCTATTCTCTCCGATACCTGGCTAAAATGAGGAGGTAGATGCAGATACCTGTGCGCATAAGTACTTCCAAGCACAGAAATACATATACATCAGAAAAAGTACACCAAACTGTTTAAGTAGTGGCAAAGTGTATTGCCACAGAAGATTGTGAATAGAACTGTGCAATGATAAATCAACCAGAAAAATAATTAATTACATTGGTTGGGCAGCACAGTGGCAAAATGGTTAGTACGTCCACCTGGCAGTACTAGGGTCATTGGTTCAAATCCCAACCACAGCACCACCTGCCTGGAGTTTGCATGTTCTCCCTTTGCCTGTATGGGTTTCCTCTGTGTACTCTGGTTTCCTCCTACAATCAAAAGACATGCTGGTAGGTTAATTGGATCCTGTCTAAATTGGC